AAACCAGAGAGGGAGGGCGGCTACCCAAGAACCTGACTGAGATGTACATCCACTTCCTGGTGATTCAGGCCAAAGTGAAGATGGTCAAATTTGATGGCGGGACTCAGATAGATTCACACTGGAGTCCAGAGAGCAGGATGATGATTGAGTATCTGGGAAAATTGGCATTTGATCATCTGCAGAAAGGAAACCTGATCTTCTATGAATCAGACCTGAGAGAGTGCGGCATCGATATCAGAGCAGCCACAGTGTTTGCAGGAGTGTTCACACAGATCTTTAAAGAGGAGAGAGGACTGTACCAGGACAAGGTGTTCTGCTTTATTCATTTGAGTGTTCAGGAGTTTCTGGCTGCTCTTCATGTCCATCTGACCTTCATCAACTCCGGAGTCAATCTGCTGCAAGAACAACAAACCACCTCCCAGAAGTCTGAAACAACAGAATTTTCAGCGTCTCACTTGTACCAGAGTGCTGTGGACAAGGCCTTACAGAGTCCAAACGGACACCTGGATCTGTTCCTCCGCTTCCTCCTGGGTCTTTCACTGCAGACCAGTCAGAGTCTCCTACAAGGTTTGCAGACACGTACAGAAGGTAGTTCACTGAACAATCAGGAAACTGTCCAGTACATCAAGAAGAAGCTCAGTGAGAATCAGTCTGGAGAGAAAAGCATCAATCTGTTCCACTGTCTGAATGAACTGAATGATCGTTCTCTAGTGGAGGAGGTCCAGCGGTACCTGAGCTCAGGAAGTTTTTCCATACGAAATCATTCCCTGGATCAGTGGTCAGCTCTGCTTTTATTCTCAGTCTCATCAAAAAAAGATGTAGACCCAAAGAAATTTTCTTTAGAGGACGCTCTTCTGGAGCTGCTGCCAAAGATCAATGCCTCTAATAAATCTCTGTAAGTAAATATGTGCTGATGCCTTTATTTGGTAAATTTTTATTTTAGTTAACATAAAGCAGGTGTGCACAGTTTGAAAGAACTGTAATGGTGCAGGGGTTTGAAAAATATATGAAACATTTACATTATCATCAGTACTCAATCCAACTGTTAATGCATATGTAGCAGCAACGATTGTCAGCAATTCTGACAAAAAACTAGGTGCAGTTGTTATTAAAGTAATGTCCAGACCCACCCTGTACTGAATACACAAGTGCTAAACATCCATCCATCCATTCGCTTCCGCTTATCCTTTTCAGGGTCGCGGGGGGCGCTGGAGCCTATCCCAGCTGTCATAGGGCGAGAGGCAGG